TAACTGACCGCGTGCATTCCTGCGCGCTGTGCGCCCCCCTCCCTCCTTACCCCCCTCGTCTTCTTTCCCGCGTTGCGGTGGCAGAACGTCGTTTCAGATCGATTCCTGCACCGATGCCAACGGTAGGTTGTCACCTCTGGATATAAACGACGGGTGACGTCAGTATGACATCAGTGATCCATATCGTCGTAACACCGTAAGGCGCCTCGCTCGCGTATTACAGACACTTTACGACGCGTCAGCGTAGAGACACCTTTGATAATTCGATGCGTCGGCGACGCGGCAGGTATAGGACTAAAGGAGAGACGCGGGGAGGGGGAGAAAGGAGGACGGGGCTAAATGCCGAGGAAGAAAACAAAAGGAGCACGCGAAGGCGGAATTGGCGAGAGGAGGTAAAGGATGTTAACGCGCAACTCTGGCAACTTAAAACCCTTCAGCGGTATTTTATGGGTGGGGTCGCCCTCACCGGACGGAGGACTATCCAATGCGCCTAGTAGTCCCGGGCCAGACAAAATGCAAATCTGCGCGCGCCCCGCTAATCTGTCTGGTGCATCCGTGAGGTCGGGACCCATTGGCGGAGACTGCGGGGCCGTGAGCACGGACGCGCGCGCGCGCGCGCGCGGGTAGCCTCGAGTTTTCCCGCGTACCTCGTAAATCAAAGTCGTCCGCGGAGGAGAGGACTGCGGCCCGACTCTAGTGTGCTGTGCAGGAAGGAAGTCGGGGTCTTGTATGTCTGGCGGGCGATCGTCGAACTGACGCACCCTGCCTGATTCATATTCAGCGAAAGCTGAATATGCGGGAAGCTGCGGCGACCGCACACTCGGTCGGAGACTCGGCAGAAAAACCGGTCTAAGCGGAGATTAAAGGTTGAGATAACGTGCCAATGTGTCACAAGTGATCTAATCATTCATTTAAGTTTTAGTACTCGTTAATAATTACAAAACGGGAACGTTATAAACGGGCAATCTCGAGATTAATTGCATTTATATGTTTATATATGTATAATGACGTTTATACACCGCTAAATATCATAATTGGCATTTACCGGTTGCCGCTTGTGTCGAAGCGTTAACTCAATTACGACGGTAATTAAGTCTCGGTACTCTTGGATCGGTTCCTTTATTTCCCCTCGACTTTTTAATCATCGCCCGATTCAGAACTCAAGCGAGGAGGAAACCCGACGCCTCTGCAGACTACACTCCCGACGATCCCTTATGCGCATACCGTATCAAATGTTGCGAGCTACGCATAATCTATCTTTTCTGTGGTGCTCACCGTGCGTTCACCCGCGGTGCGATACTCGCTGTAGGTGCCGATTAGAGTAGCGTTTCCCCGGCGTATAAACATGACTTACGCGTACACGGTTGTTAGCGCGTACGTATATACGTATGTTACTCCTGAGGAGGTGTAGAAAGAGAGACGCGACTATGCGTCCCACATACCTCTATGAATGACGTTGCAATAATGAAAGGCGCGCGTTTTTCACAATAAATCGTATATCCGATAGTCACGTGTCACTTTGCGCGGTACGGTGTCTCTGGGCCATCTAAGATGCATCATTATATCGACTAATGATCTCTTACGGAATAAGTTTTTGTTGTTTACAACATACGTATAACAGAGCGATTTACAATTCAGTCTAATTTTCTAATTCGTAATCCGCAAATGGAAATTATGCAGACGATATTAACGTGAAGCGTACCTTCGGACGCTTTTCATATGATATTTACTTTAGTGTTTCGCAATCGATAAGAAATACCTCGTTGACTATAGCACTACCTTCAGGCACTACTTCGGGCTCCGCGTAAAATAATATAACACCTCTCTCTATATAGCGTATGTGCAAACGCGACGCGCGCGCGAATCGCGATCTTCTATTATCTACCCTTTTCTCGCTACGTACTTATCTCTATGCGTGCGTGCACTTTTGAACGCACGTCGGCGGTCTCGCTCTCCGATACGAGATCCGCGAGGCCAGCCCGAACGGGCTGGTATCGGGCACCTCGCTCCCACACTCGCCCGCACGGCGATGATATTGCGCTCTTTCTCCCGGTACCACTTGCATCTCTTTCCGCCCGTGCGGTATGCTCCCTCGCCTGCACTCTCGCTCCTTTTCTCCTTTCCGTCTTCCACTCGTCGGTCCAAAGAGGCGAAGGTGGAGGCTAATCACCACGCAATCACCGCTCCCGGTGCGGCCGGGACTCCGACCCGTTCCCAGAAAGCCAGCAACCGCCTTTTGCCGCCCTGGGGCATTCACCACCGCGGTACCGGTGCTGCAAAACCAACAATCTTCGTCCAGTGCCGCGGAAAAAAGAGCACTGCCCTCCCCGCGCCCCGTTACCCCGCCCCTTTTCGCCAAATCACCGGAGGGCCGACCGATCGGCCGACTACTGGCATCCGGGGAATCCATCGCGAGAATCCAGCCGCGAATCCACCTTGGCAGTGCCTATCGAGAGACGAGGAAGGCATGCATTAAACTCGCGGAGGCAACTACCGCGTCGACACGACACTGCCCGGAATGCGAATATGGTTGAAAAGAAGTATATTTTGGGATAATTCCCCCGTATGAATGATGGACGTTTCGTTCTGAAATGCGTTTTGAATCGACATTATCGCGTGTAATGAGAGTGCACCGTAAGGATGAAATGAGGCACCTGCTCGAATAATTGCATGTGGTGAAACCCTATAGGAATAACGTGGTTATTGCGTGCGATTTAGTAACCCATAGGTGGTAGGCCGCGCGATTACAGGGATATTATGCCACGAAAAAAATACGTTATACTCTCCGCACGGAATTTTGTTTTATTCTTATAATCGTATCAATCAATTGTAATTTGTTATTGATTATTTGTGCTAAAAGCTCATTAATTGCGAAACAGACTTGTCTCATAATATCTATAAAATAGATTCACATAAACGCGTGTGGAAATTGTTGATGTAATAATAATTTATAGATTTATTACTTTCAATTATCTCGCGTTATCAATTTTCCAGCGTGTGTTTGTTCTACCGATTTATGTCGCGCTACAGCGAAATTAAATCGTAGCCTGTCAAAAACGGGTAACATCGCGTAAAGGTACTTTGTCGCTGTCCACCCTTAGATACGAGATAATATACGCAGGAAATGGGTAACTGGTAGGTAAGGACGTAAATTGATATAGTTGGGGGCGATGGTCGTTAGAGTGTATATAATATTGGGTGCACCTTTACCGTATACACCCACGCGACGTGCGTAGCCGACGGTACAGGATGCCTGAAACTGCTGGCTCGGGGCAACTCCGGGAGAAGTAAGAGGAGGCGTGAGTTTACGATAAGATACACACAGCCACGCAACTGGCTTCCTCCGGTGTTTCGCGCCAGCGGGTTAATCGAATTGGGACTTATTGTTACGTGTCGCCCGGAGATTCGTTAGATATCGCCTCGCGTACAGAAATTACGATAACCGAGAATTTACGTACTCTCGTTTCGTCGGTACTGTAAAATATTTGCAATAAGATAAATCAATAATGGAGCGATTACTCAATCGTCTACTCGAAGAAACGAAAACAGAAAAATTGCAAAAAATAATTGTAATTGCGTATATACATAAACGTAAATAAACACCAAGTTCATAATACTTTATGGCGAAGAGAAATGTTGAGATACTTATTGATCGAAATCTAGTGCAAACCTGAAATCTTTTTATTTTTAAATGACCGAAAATATAAATAATGAGCGCGACAAGCTGTGTGACATCTCAACCTATTATCCTTAAAGCGTCGCGTCGGGTATTAATGCTTGGAGAATGGACACGTGGTACACGCGGAATCACGTAGCGCGTGTGCGCTATTGCCGCACGATGACTGTGCCACGCACGTAAGTCCACGCGTGACCGACGTGCGAATTGTACGAACTATCGTATCGAATTGCCATTACGGCTCGCACCTGAGAGCGCTCGCACCGTCGCTTCGAATGAATTTACACGTGGTTTTCTGTGCAGCACGCACGAACTATCAACGCGCGTTAATTGCCCACATAGTGGTCCATGAAGTCTTTGTCGGTCTTGAAATCTTTACGGCACTACCAGTGTATCCACGCTGGACTTCACGGGCGCTGAATGGTTATTGATCAAGAATTGATTCGATACGATGTGTTTGCTACATGATGCGGTGCTAAATATTATGCGATACCGCGACGCCATTCAAATCTTAACAGTGCACGTAGGAAGATAAAATATTGTATTCTTTTTTCTTCTTCGATTGCTAACTAATTAAAAATAAAATTTTTTTTTCTGTTTCGTACCTTTAATAGAGCTTTTCTGTCCTCGAATTTTATAGGAAGTTTATTATCATTACTGTATTTATTTCGCTATCAAATGTTGTAAATTACGCGCGGAAAAATTTCGAAAGGTTTGTCTCCGGATAAGTTCGCGGCGTGGAATCACGAGGAAAGTCGTAAGCTATGACGTTTAATTGTGCAATAAATCTTGATTCTCCGATTTGCAACCCATTTCCTACTGCGGGGGCGACGATTGGTCGCTGTTAAATTGATGCGTAGGTGCAATGGAGGTACCTACGTATCCGTGTAGGTACGCCGAGCGTGAAAGTCGGAAGGACTTCATCTCTCCCTTTCCCTTTTGTTACTCTTACGTGCAAAATAGCGCGGGATCTTTCTCCAATCGTTGACTTTAATCGCGGATTACAATCTATAATCGATTTAACATGAATTTGACGAATATAAGTATAAATTTCATCTTAAATTTCAATATATACTTGCTGCAACTACTTCGCAAATATCTACTATAACATCATATCTGTAGATTCATCGCTAAGAAACCAATTACGAATGCCATCTTCTGAAAATTAAACTTTGTGATCCTTAAGTTTATATTAGAACCAATGCAATATTTTTGCAAAAATAATTAGAAAACGCAAAATAGTTGCACAAGCTTTATTTTTATTCAATTACGCTTAAATGCCTTTCAATATCTTTCTGACGACAGTTCCTATTTTCGATTACAGACTCAGTGGCACAAACGATTACTCTTACGAGTTTTGCCTTCTTCCTGACCTCGTGGCTGAACTCGGCGTCGGGAACGTCCGCAAACGATCTGCAATTTGTGCCAAACACCAGTGACATAGAGCCCTGGTTTCAGCCTTGTGGCACCCGGCTGGCGGCCTCGCGAAGGATGCACAATTCCAGCGATTCGAACAATATCATGAAGAGGGTGCGAACGCAATTGCGAGTCGCGCAAAATCACTTCAACAAGACTTTCAAGGACGTGCGCATAGTTTACTCGAAGGTGAGAGACGAGTGCGCTCCACTCGCGACCGCGATTCCGTAATTAATTGCAGCGCGGCGTCGTCGGGGTAAAACCGCGTGGGCAGTGCTCGCTCGAGGGGGACTCGCACGTGCGCGCGATGCAACGCATCGCGATGCTAGCGCACAGTCCTATTTTCCGCCGGCAATTTGCATTGGTTACGATGTGCCACGCACATCCAGCATAATTACTTTTTCTTATACAGTCCCGCGGCGCGCAGTCCAGACGTCTCACAGATTTGATGACAAATCGCTTCCCGTCGCGTTGCAGAACGAAACGCGTCGCTTGCTTAATATTAAAAATGTCGTTATCGCAAAATTATTATTAAACATCCTCACGAGACGAAGATAAGGGAATACATTTACATATGAGGCTTTTACTTGTTTATAACGTCGTTATAACGAGATGATAAATATTATTGTTTGGTCTACTAGAGAGAGAGCCTAAGATCAAGTTTATCCCGCGCGGATCGCAACGGCTTGGATAGAGCGATATATTTTGTTTATCGACTTTTATCACTTTGAAGCTTACTTCAGACACGCATGGCTGCATTCCGAGACAGATTTGTAATATTACGATTTTTGACACCGTAGTACTAGACTAGATATAAACAGACAAGATTGCTTACGCCAGTAAATGTATGTTATGCCAGATAATATATTAAATAATTCATAAATGTATGACGGTCATTTGTAATTTCCATCTGTATTTATGCAACATAACGGCACTAGTTGAGACTTGTATAGTCATAAATTTTGTATTCAATGATACATATAACCAACTAATAAATTACATGCGCGTGACACAACCTTAGACCTCCAATAAAATGGAAAATCACAATCTATGCAAAATTACAAAAAAAAAATCGAAAAAAAATTGTATTACATTAAATCGACCCAGTCGTATAGTTACGAAACTCACATAATTAAATACTATTTCATCTTTCTGTCACAGGTGTACAGAGTGCTGCTAAAGGAGCAGTACAAGATGAATTGGTTGCCAAAAAAGCAACTCGAGTGGTACCATACGGAACTTTGGTGTTTGGAAAGGGGAAAGAAAGCGGAGCGTGCTCTTCCACGTCTATATGATGCGCTTCAGAAATTTTCGATTACGTTCCATTTTCTTAGAGAATATCGCCTCGACTCTAATATCGATGTCACTCGGGGCATAATTAAGAGGCGGACCAGGATCATCGATAAAGCGCATAACCAAGTTCTTAGGGTAAGCACTGCTTTGCTTCTGACAAGATCTGTGTTAACGTGATATTAATTGAAAATTGTATTTATATACGCGTTAGAATCGTCATTTATTATCACCCGTTAGAATTGCTCGTAAATCGAATTAATCGTTCAGCGAAACACAAGAATATAAAACTATGAATACTTTATTACTCTGACTTGCCACTTTGGGTCAAGTTGCCATAAAACCTATCCAGGCATGTAGGCACGGCGAGCAACATCAATCTTTTGAGTGAAAGTGCAAACGTGTAAAAGTAACAACGCTTCTCGTTTATATGATTGCAGTTGCTGTGCGAAGTCGAAGCCGCTATGATAAATCTGGAATTGAGAACTTCAACTCTAAACGACGCATTCATCATAACGGATAACGTGCAATGGGCCAAAGAGGGCGATCTGACTCTAATGTTGATTCAGGATTGGGGCGTGTTAAAGCTCTATCATACTTTTCTGAAAGATTGGATAAAGGTCTTCCGCAACGCCACCAGTGCCAACGACAACAGCTGCGATCGTAACATAAAGTCTATTGCTCTTACGCAAAAGCAGGCGAAAAAATTGTTCCAAAAGGGAGAACACCGAACGAGAACACCGAGGAAACATAAATCGACGAGGAAGCCCGGCGGTCGAAACAATTCCGTGCGTCAGAACCTGCGAAAGGGGTCTGAAAGGAACAGACTGATGAAGAAGAAAAAGTCCACATTACGACCTACGTTACGAACATAGACCATGTCGAACCTGAAGAAGTTTGCGTTTTAGTATCGACGAGATCTGCTGATAATTTAAAGACACCGCTCTATACAGCGTCGAATCGTATACTATCTCTCACTAACATAACTTTTTATATTTATTCCATTATCGCAATCATGTCCATTTTGAATAGTTTCACTCGTTTTTCGCAGATTTGCCAACGGAATCGTGCTATTGTACTACGATTATGTATCTCAGCAGCCGTAAAAAATCGTTTAATCAAATCATTTCGGCTAAACACTATTGGATTATGGTAATCGAAGTATTTTATCGACAATACGCGGCTGCATACTAGGGACCAGTATTAAAAGATCTACTTCAGAACAGTATTATATCTAATAACATACATAAAATATACCGAGCATAGCCCATAATGTTGATAATAATGTTTCGAAGTACACGGCGCGCTCGAATCGATTGGACTCGCGAAATATCGGTCCAATGGATTACAGCCGCCGTTAAAGTGCACCTGGAAATGCACACATAATCTTATCGTGTTGTGTGTATATAAAAGGAATGTAAAAACTCCATTTTTATTCAGGCACTCAACAATCTGAGAACGACGAAAAAAAAAAACAGTACGTTATGGAAATGCGAAGGAGAGAAAGAGAAAGAAATATAGAGAGAATAAATTCACAGATGTACTTGTCACGTTTAAGATTGGCCGCCCGATATTTATATCGATATTGCCAGCAATTCAGATTCACGCTCACGGCCAAGGCGGCTTGTTACACGGTCACGGATTTGAGTTCATTCGATTAAAATTGACGGAGACTGCGATACGCGCAGATGTCGGTAGTACGTGAAAGGCTCGACGACGAGTTTAGGCGGCTCGTGAAAACTTATTTATTCTAGCTTTAAGCGGATGGCGAGAAAACTTAAATGTCGTTTAGCTGTGATATCCCGAGCGTACGCGGACGTACAGAGTTCCTACGTTTATAACATAGGCGCATATGTGCACATACACAATACACTTACATAGATAGGTATCGTGCGTTGACGCGTACCATACGGTAGACGTAGATGATTCTCTCTTCCTTTCCGGTGTGTTTTACCGAAGAATCTCGCCTTGTCGTGGGAAAACACATGACAATTTTACCCTTTATAGTTAAGTCCACTCGAATCACTCGCGTTGTAAGCGTTATAAGCGCGTATATAGAAGCGTTTTAGCGGAGACGAATTACGTGGATTTTTCACGATTTCTTTCGTCTCGCTTTCGATCAAATTATACGCAAGTGTGCTAATCGATAAGGGACCATTACGAATTTTATTGAGAATCGTTTAAGTAAATCTTGTATTTTATACACGCATCATGTTGTTATGTGCCTGTCAGCACACATAACAATGTGACCGTCTCTCCTTTTTTTGCGATAGATTAAAATATATTTATGTATATCGATGCAGATTCGATATTTTCGATACTGAAGCAGTACTTAAGTTCATAGCTTAGCGTTACGAATGTACTATGTATGCCTTATATAGAACATATATTATTTATTAGTATATGTTCTAAGATGTATGCACACGACGCGATGCAAATTGTTCGTAAACGCGCACATAAATTTAAGACCATTATGCATTTTACACAATACACATAGAATATTTATTCGGGCGTATATGCATAGCGTTCTGTTCTATTTATTGTATCACGTTACCATTGCATATACTATTTATTGTCATGTCTCTACTTATATGTGATCATCTCGAATAAATTCAATGTTTTGTATCGAACTGATGTTTGGATGACAGAGATATACCTTTATAATCCACGTAATAGTTTAATTTCACACAATATTGTATGTTTTACATGAACATTCAACCGGAAATATCAGGAGTGCATGAAGGATGTTCATTCAGCATGGCATTCGATCATTATCCGTAATGTATATAACGCAAAAATAATAGATAAGAACGTGCTATTTAAAATGCAACAAACATGACTCATCGTAGCAATATTTTAAGGGATTGATTAGATAAGCAGGATTAAATAATGCAAGGCGACGAAAATTTTTTGTAACTGCCATTATGTATTTATGTACGTGCTATAAATACATCGCTATATCGCAATGCTACTTTATCGTTGCTTTCGCATATAGTGACATAATTATCCTTATTTATAACATTTATTTAAAGGTATATTTAGCTATATTTTATTTTTAAAACAGCAAAAGCGTAATTGTAATAATCATGATAATATCACTATCAATTTTTTTTTACTTATTTAACAGTTATAATTTTTTTTACTGAAAATTTTAAAATCATATTTAATTTATAAATTTAAAATATTATTCTGTACTTAATTTACTATTTTTCTGTAAGTAAAGTGATTAGGCCAGCATCATAATGCAGTTTCATTATTGTGAACAGGATTTCCCAGACGCATCAAACGTTGTAATAGGAGTACACGAAGAGTGGATAGGTTGTAATTGCTCCTCACTGCATTTTGCGTTTATAACGGATATAAATCTATTTGCTGTAATTCAACTGTCCGGCGCAGCTGCATTAATAAATTGTTCGTTATGTAAAAAACTAAGATACCTGTCTGTTCAATTCAATCTCGTTTGTAAATAAATATGCAAGCATTAATTCATTTAAATATTTTACCATAATTTTAGCATAATTATACGTATAATTTTAAATAATATTCACAATCAGTCTCTTAACTAATATTTACATATCATTTTGTCACCAAGAACAATAACGTTTGTTATTCTTTTTTATTTATTACTCTCTTCACTAACGCGTAATATTATAATTTTACTGTGTACATTACAGTATAAATGCTATATTTACACGATATTTTATTAAAAAGTATTGAATTAACCATCGCAATTCATTCAAGCGTATTGAAATTATTCCAACATTCTTTGGTATCGCACCAATGCGCATGGATGCGCTTCTGCGTTTGGAATCAGGTCGTTATTTGTTTTCCTTGTTCATGATATATACGATCGCGAAATAACACGTCACGACGCGCGACGCGTTGCAACTTAATCGGGCGTGAGAAGATCTCTAATCTTAGTTCGGTGAATTCACGAATCTAATTATAGTATTGCCTTTTATGGCGTATCCCTTACGCGGTACAACGAACGCATCGACGTACGCGTCGACGTATACGTTCGTTACGTCTACTTCATTCAGAAGTTTTTGTCACCATCTTCTTCTCCATATTTCAACGGGAAAGAATTGACCTCCTGACGTCAAAATTCCTTATGGGCCAGATCAGATCGGAATTAGACATCGTTTGCACGCGTAAAAATGCAAAAGTGCATAGAAATTATTTTATTTTTTCTAATACAATTAAATATGCTATCGTAACATATTTATAAAAAAATATAGAGATTTTTCTTGTTCGTGCAAATGCAATTGTTTAACAAATTATACATATATATATATTATTTTTTTAAATTGCAACACAAATGAATTGCCGAATAAAAAAATACGTTGTATGTATAATAATTATAAATAAATTTTCTATCTGATATATATATATATAATTATTTTAAAAATTTGAATATTAATTAATATATGCATTGAATTTTCCGAAATCATATGCCATATCTCAAAATAGCAGATGCAATGGATGTTGAAAGAAGTCGATGCCTCGTATTATAAATATTTTTCAGCCTCATTCTTTTCGATTCCAATTATAGCTGCACGAACCTTTTGAATAATAATCATTAAGCTTGTTACAAATAGATATAACAGTAGTGATAAGTATAAATATGTGATAAGTATGACGAGATGTCGATCACGGATATCTAACGATTCGTTTGACGACATGGCTTTCCCAATTGATTCATAGTGCAAACACAACGGTGTTTGCGTCTGAATAGTCTGCGCGGTATCCGAGAGATTTCTGACGGAATTGCGCGTACGAAAGAGGCACATGCAGATACCATAAACGCGTGACGATAGGTACCGTTCGTGTTTCGAGGAAAATCGTAACATCTATACATGTGGGCGAGATCCGCGAAGTATAACCAATAGGGACTATTACTGCTAAGTGAACACGTCACTTAGATAAATTTGGATAGTTGCATGACAAGAGAGATCTATGATAAATGTAAATTCATTAATACGTAAGCGTTTATGGAATAACCAAATATAAAATAAAAATGCAATATAAAAACTATGATTATAATAGCTTATTCTAATTATATTAAAATAAATATTATGTAAAGATTTATGGTATAAAGTTGATTTTCGCAATAATATCGTTGTTAACTAAAAGAAATAAGTATCGTAAAAGAATACTATACAATCGTTACATATTAAAGACCTATGAAAGCTCAAATTATATCACGAATATTGACGATATTATGGTTTAAAAATGCTTAAGAAAAAGATATGTCCGCTTCAAAAGAGGCCTGTCTGTAATACGATTTCCCGAGGCTTCACTGGCGATACAATAAAAAAAAACGTGGACAAAACCTTCGCTGCAACCCCACCGTCTCCGCACGAGACGTCGAACATGCGTGCGTATGTACGATTGTTTACACAATCCCATATATAAGGAGGAAGCACGAGAGTTTGACAATCTCAGTTCACGATCTCACGTCGATCGAGAATATCACTCAGTGCCTTATCGTTATCATTTTTCCAAGTCGATTCGACGAGACCGTTACTGAATTACCGGGAAGAATAATCGTGAAAATTTTGCGACAATAAATTCAAACATGTTCCTCGAGAGAGTTTGCCTGATCTCAGCTGTCATCGCCGTTGCTCTTGCGGCTCCGAGGATATCCGGGTCGATGCCAACGTGGCATATACCATGTGGAGAACCCAGTTCGCCAGCCGTCTCTTTGAAGAATCTCGAGGAGGAAATGAAGACCAGTCTGGCGAATCTTAGGCTGCAACATCAGCTGACGATGAACGACTACTTGAATCGAGACTACGAATACCTGTACGAAAGAGTTAGGATCGGCGTCGACGACCACCAGTACATACCTAATTGGGTACCCGGCAAGAAGGATGTGAACCTTATAAGAAAACTGGCCACCGCTAATACTCCAATGGTGAGTACAGTCATTCAATTAACATTGTTACTCGTTTAGATCGTACATGTTTTGAACCGCAACTTGAGTTTGCCGTTATTAAGTGTTTCAAACGGTTTTGTCCAGCCATCAAGAACTCTTAACATAAATACGTGACACCAATTGCGCTACCAATTGGCCATTATTTCGCTGAATAGATATGTTGCAATAGCAGAAATTTCTTTGAAAGCTCCTATATAGATAAATTTTTGTAAATTAGATCTTATTTCTAGTCGAGATTCTACTTCGTTTCTCTCTTTTAGATCCTATGTGATATTACAATGATACTTCTCATTGCAACATTGTTAGCTACATTAGTTTTCTTGGCTCTATCACAGCCGTACTTCCTCCACCGTCGACATTCGCGACATTACATCTCAGGCCATTAGTTTCTTCTCAATCGTTAATATTCATCGTTCGTAACCGTCGTTCGTTACCGTGTAGCAGAAATGAAAGAGCAATCCATGCAAGATACTACCGCGTGCAGGGGAGAGACGGATAACAAGTGCGCGGAAAAGAGAGAGCAGTGTTGCAGGCCACCGTCGCGTTTTCAGCGGCCGACCGGCCGGCTGACCACCCGGTTGCAATTGATTAACGCAACGTTAAATAACAAATTTTAATGAGACGGTAATTATTATAAAGTAGCAGGCGAGCAGGAGCGAGCGCGGTCTTTCGTGCAGTGCGCGCGCAACGCGACCGTACGTGTGCACTCATGTTCGCCGGGTCGTGCGGCTGCGTAATCGCGCTCGTCTGCCTCCTCGATGCGAGCACGCTGATAACGCAAGGCTGATATCGCGACCCGCGGTACTCCCCGGATGCCGGCATTCGCAGCCCCCTTCCCTCTCTCTGCCACGCCCCGATCGCCGCGGACTGCAGCAACATTGATCCTCGGCGTTGCACTTTGTTGGGGTTTCAGTTGCACGTTCTCGGAAGGTGGGATTTTACAGGGGAAACTTGAGTATTTCGCGGCGATTAAGTTCGCAATCGCTGATAACGCGAACGGAAATAAGGTCTCGTCGAGCATAAAATTGTTATTCGATTGACTTGATAGTGACTCGCAATATCTACGTACTCCAAACACGTTTTTCGCGCGTGTTTTTTTAAATTTGTGTATGACGCTAGATAAAATACTTTTAAAATTATGATGAGCACATCCGCTTTGATAAGTTCTGTTAAATGCATAAATTTAATAAATTATTTAAGATATTAATATATTATTTAATATATTTAATATATTTAATATATTAATATATTATTTAATATATTTAATATATTTAATATATTAATAAATGCATAAATGTAATTTAAAGTATTTAATCACATTCGATATTATGAAATTATTTAACTCATCCCATCGCACAATTTAATGTATTAAGATGGAAAGACAAGTTAAATTGTTATACTTGAACTCAGAAGGGTACCGCTGAATTTATATATTTAGATAATTCTCTGTGAAAACTTTTGTCAGATTTTCTATTTCAATTCTTTAAACAATACTAAAATTAGCATTACACGAAATTCATAAATATTAATAATGGATGTGATAGAATAATTTCTAACGGGGCAATATTTGCAGTCGACATTAACAGTTTCATCAACTACGTAAGAGAAGACGTAATGCTTCGTAATCGCTTGCTTTTACGTCAAAGTTTTAATATCATGGAGAGAATCACATAAATATTAATGAGCAAGCTTAAGTCAGCGGTTACAGCAATATTTAAATATTTAAATATTAAAACAAAGTAATAATTTCGTAATAACCGTTTTTTTTTTTGCAGATTGTCAACCATTACCCGAAGATGCACATGGATCTTCAGAAATTCGCCGTGGCGTTCGAAGAACTGATCGTGGACGAGCCTAGCTCTCAAATTCGGCAAGCTCTTAAGGCGACTCAGTCGTACTTAACTATGATGTTATGCGAGGTCGAAAGCAACATTGTCTCCTTGCCCACCACCATACGACTCCCGACACGCGTGGAACGAGACATCATGAGCCATACCGAGCGAAACCCCGTCGACGAGACGCGGAGGCTCATCAGGGACTGGGGCGTAATTCTCAAGTACCGAGACTACCTGCACGCTTGGAGGCACGTATTCGACTATTAAAGATAAAGAAAAGAAGTATTAAATTGACTGTCGTCAGCGGGTCATCGATTATTTTCATCAGAGGATGACACAAGATACATCAGACTATCGGGCGGCGTATGCCACCGATGTAAATTGATTTAGCACCTGTCGCGACTGTAGCCATAAAATCGCATCACTATCTGCATGACGACGCAGTACACGTTGAAGTTACTGACAATAATCGTTGGTCATGTAGCGATTATTACGAAATCTGCGAAGACTATGAATCCGCCTTACACCGTGATAATTTCTCAAAATTATTTATTGAAGCAATTATTTATTCTCGCGGCGCACGATTGAACATGTATAGCGTCTAGTATTTATTTTTACACGTAGCAAATTATTTATTTGGTAAATTAATTATTTATTTATTCGGATCGATAGTACCTTTACCAATTGTACCTTCTGAGAGGTACTACGCAACCGGTATCGACTTATAAGATAATCGGTTGCACTTTGTGATAATCAGTCACTATGACAATTGTAATTGTTGCATCCTTGTGACAAGTGATCACTTATAGATTATTTACAAAAGACATTATTTGTAAAAGAAATGATTTTTATTTTTCGCGCAGTATTATATATTTATAACTCAAAGCAAGATGTAATATATTTATATATTTTATTTGTACTTTTAGTAACTTATTCGTAAATTTTATAAATATAAAAAACTCGCAATAAAAATAATTTATTAAACATAATGTTTGAAACTGTTTTCGTTATCATTCGATTCCTTACTGATCCTTGTAAATCCTATGTTACATTGATGTAAGAGGATTACGGTAGATGTCTCTACAGGTAAAACTTACATCGTAATTATTCTTCAAGAAAAATGACATCGTATAAAATATTATAACTTTAAATATTGAACAATATTTTAAAAGATACGGGGTGACAATATAATATCTGTAGAAAATTATTCATATTTTCAATAAAGTCGCTAATTTTATCGCATGGTAAATACTTTGGATTTTGTAAAGTAGCGCCACGATATGTTAAAGAAGTTCAATTGCTACATCTGCGAACATAGACGCACACGATTTAAAAAAATCAATTGATTCAAATAAAATAGTTTTTATCAAACAAAGTTTTAATCTCTGAAATTATATTAAAAATTATTAATTTCGTAATAACAACCCATGCAACACAAATTGATTGGTCAACAGTTGATCTCTCTTGACAGATGAATTGGCCCAATTTTTGCTGCAAGGGAATTTATGTAGCTTAAAAAATTCATTATATATTTGCTTTTTTGGAAAATATTATAATTATAAAATAAATAGCAGTAAAAAAAGATATACTTGCAATAATATCACTGTGTGATAGATATGTATATATGTAATACACATACGTTCAGTAAATATTGGAATAATTATAATACAGTAATATGTAAAATTAATAACAAATAATATGTTAAAAATTATTACGTACTTTGTTTCTGAAATCTCATTATTTTCACAAAAAATATTGATTTACAATAATAAAATTTAAATCCCAATTAAATAAATTATTTTGTGCAAAAAACAATGTTATATTTTATCACTAGAAAATCTTAATTTTATTATAAAATAAAAAAAATTAAAAGTTTAAAATTACGATAATCTCTATGGTTGATGTCTAATTGCCAACTGAGAGTAAATTATCGATAGTAAGTAATACATTATCGATGGAAAATATAATATAATTATATATTCGATAAACTCTATGCATGTATTATTTAATTTAACTTAATTTTATTTAATTGTTGGATATGTATAATATATAAAAATATCTATTTTTACGTAAAAAAATAAAATCTGATATAGAAAAATTCTATATTTTTATTTGTAATTTTTTGAAAAAATTAAATAAATGTATTAAAAATAATTAACAATATAATTAATCACAAATAATCATATATGTATAAATAACTTAAATTACAAAGAAAGAAAGAAAAAAGTGAGTGAGAAAGAGAGAGAGAGAAAGAGAGAGAGAGAGAGAGAGAGAGAGAGAGAGAGAAACACTTTTCAACCAAATCAATGTGTCATTTATCTACCATAATAAACGAAAGATCTATAGAAAGATGCATTATGATTTGAATGGAATATCTAGCGAGAGTGAATTAGGTACGTGCTCATGTCATAACAAAATCATTCTGTTATACAAGCAGATGCGTATAAACGTGGGTGGCAAAGGTAAAGATGATGAGGAAATTGAAATGGACGTGAAAAGATTTGAGTTTGACGGAAGAAAACGAGCACATTACGTAGTCACTCTCACTGTAGTGATTTCGTATTTTTCACGAGTGTTCCATAAGTATTTCTACAGAGCATTTATATTCTGTTCTACATAAAACAAGCATAAATTCGTACGATAAGTTACTACAAATAATAATCGTAAGAAATATTGTCGATTTCTAATGTAATTATATGAATATAAATTCATTTACTATATAAAAGAAGATATTCAAATTTTTTAACAAACAATAAATACCAGAAATTTCTCAATAGTAAAAATAAGAAATATAGTAGTTATGAACCTATTAAAAAAATTTATTGTACGTCAGAATTAAGTAGCATTAGTGATTAAATGCTAATTAGATTAACGTATTAGTGATATTTACTCGATAATGCATTTTATTGTTTGTTTAATCATTAATGATTCATGCTTCACTATTGCGGGGGAACAAAACTGGTTAGACTTGCCATTGTTTTACGTACAGACGTCTTGCATACATGACTTTCTATAGATAACAATATATTGATGTAATTATTTAAGTCAATATCTGACGAGCACATCAGTATGCTTTAATTAATGTGCATAATTATTATTAAAATAAATATTAAAAATATATTAACAAAATAATTGATAAAGACCACTAAAGAATTTTAAGCTACATACAATTTATATAATTACACGGTATTTAGAAGTCGTATACAGACACACAATTAAGATCTCTTACCCACGTATTCTAAATTAAAATGTTTCCCAAGAATGAATGATACAGAGATTTCTCTTTGTGCCAACTGTTGTTATCGGAACTAGAATCCGTAACTTTCATCCTTGTGATTTCTCGTAATGTGAAAGAAGAGCCTAACACTTGATTATCTCATGATTAAATATTTTTTAACAAGACACTTGAATTATCTGCTACGTGGGAAGATCTCCATACTACAATGCTTACAGTTTCATTATTTCGTTTAAGAAGGATGATGTACCACACGAACATGTATTTAACCATACATACAATGTATGGCCCTTTCGTCTTCATGCTAGGGAATATATGAAGAGCAACAGTTCCACTTTAATACTACTGCATTAGAGATTACATATTTTGAGGATTGCCACGACGCAATTAATTAACTTTATCGATTTATTAAAATTCTATTTTTCTTTTTCTTGCATTATTTATTCTTGTCGCTTTTAAAATATGCTTTAAAAATAGCGAGCAATATTCGTTGAATAACCAACATGGCCAATAATTTAGAGATCGCGGTATAATAAATTAATATGCATTCCGAAGCGGAACTAGTATTTCTATAACACGTCAGATGGCTAATACTACACCACGCAACTTCCTCTGCCACAGATCAGTATTAATGAGATTTCAAAACCAATGGTCATTGACCTGCGCAGACAACACTATTTTACTTTCTCTGCGTATGATACAGTTATGTTTCTGATTGTGTGACACATCTCCCATCAAGCAGATGGGAAATGAGTAGGAAACAATTTTATTTCGCTGTGAAAGTAATACGAAATTTAATAACACAAAAGAGAACATAATAACGTATAATAATTTTTAAAAATGTTAAAAATGTTTAAATATATCATATACTATTAATTTTATATTCTATATAAATTCTGTTTTCTAAAAATTCTGTTTTCTCTCTTTGTCTGTACGTACCATTTGAGGTAAATTAAATTTCTATATTTCACAAAAAAATATAAATTAGCATAAACATATCAGCGTAAAAAATTTGATATTTGACATAAAATAAAAGAAACAAGAGCAATTTCTCTTCGTGAGAAACAGCTTCATTTTCATTTTCAAGCAACTAATATTAACATTTTAAACAAGTGATTTTAGATACTTTATATATTTTACTATTTTACTACTTTATATATTTTAGATATTTTATATATATTAATCGAGAAATATAAATGCATAAATCGATGCATATAAAGTATATTTAAGTAAAAACATATTATCTAGAAGTAAAAAATTAAACTGTGACACGGTGCTTATTTTTTCCTGTTGTTAGAGCCTAAGTATAGATATTAGTTCATTTCCTGGTTACACAAACGATAAAGTATAATCTAAGGCGCTAAGCTTTTATTAAGCGTGAAGAAAGGTATCGTAAAGCATACCGTCAACAGTTGCGATTTAGCACTAAATTGCTGCGTACGTGGCGTGGTGTTTTAAATCTTTAACGGCGATTTATTCACTAATGGAAAGGGGATTCCGCTGGGCGTTAACCATACATAGTATTGCCATTTCAGACCAGGTCAATAAAGTTCAAGATTTAGACGCTGCGATGGGAAAGTAATATTACATTTAACGTGCGAATAAATTCGCAATTGTATTTTAACATTTAATGATAATTAAATCTTTTTTTTACTGTTTAGTTAATATTTAACAAATTTATGTTATTATAAATAATAAATAAAAGAGATATCATTTTTAAATTTCAAAGTGGCTGGAGACTAGTTGCCAAAGAAATTAGTAGTCTTAATTAATTCAGAAACGGTTAAAAATGCTTGATAAACGCAAAAATGAATAAAAGAAAGATAATTATAAATGTTATGTAACTTTACACGATAGCATACAATTTTTAGTAAAATTTTTGTCATATTATTATTGCCATTTTATTATTAAAACACAATCTATATATTGAAATTTTCTCAATTTCAGTAGATTTTTAAAAAATCTATTTTACATTTCTTTATTGCAACGCATTATTTACATTAAATCTGTCTGAGTAAAAAAAGAAAAATCGGCAAAAAAAAGAGCAATCGTATATTATGCAAAATTCTATCCAATTTACTTCGTGAATTATATATATTGAAATGGATTTAATACTTAAATTAAAAGGTGAGGATTTAAAACGGAGAAGCCTCGATTCTGTAAGATCACGAAGTCCGTGCCCGATCATAGCAGATGTGAATCGTAGTCGCTGGCATTCAAATGCCAGCTCTTTGTTCGCCAGTTTCCACGCCGAGAATTACACTTCTACAGATGGTTACCGCCGTACATCTACAAAGGCAGTCCATCGTATATATGCCTCGTATCTGCACGGATCGCAATAATTAGATGGCACGGGATGCTCACGAATAGTGTATCGAGTAAGCGAGATCGGTTGGTAGTCGATAGTCATTATCCGTCGTCGTGATTTATCAGCAGACGTCGTGAGAAGAACCATGAACTAAAAAAGAACATGGTGACACCGGAAGGTGCAGGGACGTCATTTTGCATTACTTGACACTTCGAACGGATAATAACGGATAATCTCAAAGAAGAAGAAAAAATCATAAGAGGAATGTCTCTTCATGTCTCGCGTCGTTAATTATCAAATTGCAATTATTGAGTTATGTAAAGAATAATGTATGCTGATGTCATGGAAATCT